CTGTTTATTTAATATTCTTGATGATGATGAAATTATAGAAACAGAAAATATATTATGGTTGACAAGCAAAGGAACTGGGGCTGGGGTATAGCAGGGGTGTGGGTGTGTTTATAAAACAGCAATATAAGCAATCCTTGTGATGGAACTGGTCTGTATCTTAACTGTTGGTAGACACAAAAACCTATACACGTGATAAAAGAGCACAGAAGTACGTACACACACACACACACACACACACGTGCATAAAACTGGAGAAAGCTATATAGGATCAGCAGATTGTATCAATGTTGGCATCCAGGCTGTGACCTTGTGCTATAGTATACATAGTACATATACACATAGATAGTGCTGTAGTACAAGATACCAGAGATCTCTCTGTATTTGTTATTACAAGTGTATGTCAATCTATAACTACCTCAAAATTAAAAGTTTAATTAGGAAAAAAACACCACAACATTTTCTTTTGGAAATAGAAATGGTGATTCTTAAGTTCACTTGGAAAATAAGCAAAATCAGGACAAAGCAAAAATACTTACTTTGACTTCTACTCCACACTGTCCTGGAAGTTTAAGCCAGGGCAGTAAGGCAAGAAAAATTAAGTCACCCACACAAGAAAGAAAGAAAGTAAAACCACTGGCATCTCTCTTAGCCTCTCTGGAGAGAAAGAGGGTTCCTGCTTGGCTCCCAGAATCGTCCCACACAGAAACTGGGGGAACCATAGGAAATTGGACATGGGTGAGAGGTCAAAGCAGAACTTAAAAGCCCAGGCTTTATTGTGCAGAACAGGATAAAAAGCATAAAGACAAGTATAAAAGAAAAGAATCCCTGGGATAGAAAGAAGTATTTTCTTAGAAAACCATCAACACTATTTAGTCAAAGCTTACCCCTCCCCTCCAAACACACACTTGAGATCAGGAGTTTGAGATGAGCCTGGCCAACATGGTAAAACCCCATCTCTACTAAAAATACAAAAATTAGCTGGGAATGGTGGTGGTTGCCTGTAATCCCAGCTACTTGGGAGGCTAGGCCCGAGAACTGCTTGAGCCTGGGAGGCAGAGGCTGCGGTGAGCTGAGATCAGGACACTCCACTCCAGCCCAAGTGACAGAGGGAGACTGTCTCAAAAAAAAAAAAAAAAAAAAAAATGAGTAATTTAGCAACATTGTAGGATACAAGATCAATACACAAAAATCAAATGCATTTCTTATATATTAGTCATACACAAATACAAGTTGATATGAAAATAAATTGCTGACAGTTGTATAAGATCTGTGTCCTGGAAACCTTGCTGAGAGAAATTAAAGAACAAGATAGATGGAGAGATACTATGTTAATAGATCAGAAAACTCAATGTGGTTAAGATGTCCATTTTCTCAAATTATTTTACGAGTTCCATGAAATGCCAATCAAGATTGCAGTGGGTTTTTCTGTAGCAATTGACATGCTCATCTTAAAATCTATATGAAAATGCAAAGAACCTAGATTAACCAAAACAACTTTGAAAAGGAGACTAAAGTTTGAAAAACTGCCTAAAGTTGAGAACTACCTAATTCCAAGACCAACTGGAAAGCTGTAAGTAACTGAGACAGCACTGGTATTGGTATAAAAATAAACAAATATATCAATGGAACAGAACAGGGAGTCCAGAAATATTCACCCATATATGGCCAACCAATACAGAGCAATTTAATGGGGAAAAAAAAATAGTGTTTCCACAGATGGATATCAATATGTCAAAAGGAACCTAAATCCATATCCAACAACATATAAAAAATTAGCTCAAAAAAGATTATAGACCTAAATGTGAAACCTGAAACTGTAAGACTTATAGAATATATTAGACAATTTGTGACATTGGGTTAGGCAAACATTTCTTACACACAATATCAAAAGCATAGTCCATAAAATAAAATTTGGGGCAGGGCACAGTGGCATATGCCTGTAATCCCAGCACTTTGGGAGGCTGAGGTGGGGGGATCACTTGAGGTCAGGAGTTCAAGACCAGCCTGACCAACATGGTGAAACCCTGTATCTACTAAAAATACAAAAATTAGCTGGGCGGGGTGGTGGGTGCCTGTAACCCCAGCTACTCGAAAGGCTGAGGCAGGAGAATGGCTTGAACCTGGGGAGAGGAAGTTGCAGTGAGCTGAAATTGTGTCACACTCTGGTCAACAGAGCGAGACTCCATCTCAAAAAAAAAAAAAAGAAATTTTGATAAATTGACCTACACCAAAATTAAATACTTTGCTCTGTGAAAAACACTATTTAAAAAATGAAAAGGCATACACTAGGCAAAAATAATGGCATATCATATGTGATACAGAATTTGTATCAAAAATACATAAAATTTCTTAGAATTCAACCAAATTAATGTACAAAAGATCTGGACAGACATTGCATCAAAGAAGACACAGATGGCAAATAAGCACATGAAAAAATGCTCGATACCTAATTAGTCACTAAAACTACAAGATACCACTCTACACCTAAAAGAACGCTTACTATTTAAAAAGACTGATACTACCATGTACTGGCAAAGATGTAGAATGAAGCAACCAAAAGTCGAATAAAGTTACGGTGGCAATGGAAAATGGTATAACCACTTTGGAAAACAGTTGGGCAATTTCTTAAGAAATTAAATGTGTACTTATCATAAAACCAATTTAGTGCATTCTGAACTACTTATTTATCCAAAAGAAATAAAAGCAGTCATTCATATAAAGATTTTTTTTTTTTTTTTNTTTTTTTTTTTGGAGATGGAGTTTTCACTCTTGTTGTCCAGGATGGAGTGCAATGGCATGGTCTCGGATCACCACCACCTCTGCCTCCAGGGTTCAAGCAATTCTCCTGCTTCAGCCTCCTGAGTATCTGGGATTACAGGCACGCACCACCATGCACAGTTAAGTTTTGTATTTTTAGCAGAGACGGGGTTTCTCCATGTTGGTCAGGCTGGTCTTGAACTCCCAACCTTAGGTGATCCACCCACCTAGGCCTCCTAAAGTGCTGGGAATATGAGTGGAGCCACTGTGCCTGGCCTCTAAATATAAAGACTTCTACAAAAATGTTCATAGCAGCTTTGCTCATAATAGCCAAAACCTGGAAATAATCGTCTATCAACAGGTTAACAAATAAATAAATTGTTATCCCTCATACAATGGACTACTACTGGCCAAATCAAAAGAAATGAAGATGCAACAGCATGGATAAATCTTGAAATGATCATGCTGAGTAAAAGAAGTTAGACAGAAAAGAGTACATACTGTAGGATCCCATTTCTATTAAATTCTAAAGGGCACAATCTACTGAATAGTGACATAAGGCAGCTGAATCTACCTGACGATGGGAGAGGAGAGGTTGGAGGGTTATAAAGTGGCATGAGACAAATGTGTTGTCACCTGTGAATATTCTTTATTTCAAATGTACTAATTATTTTGATTGTGGCGATGGTATATTCATATTATCAAAGCTTATCAAATTGTACATTTTAAACACTATAGTTTACTATCAATTATACCTCACTAAAGTGACTAAAAAAGAAACCCACCACACTTTCTTTTGAAAACAGAAAAGATGATTCTTAAGTTCCTATGGAAAAAACAGTAAGCAAGTGAGAATAGTCAGGAGAATCCTAAAAAAAAGCCCCCCAGCAGAACAAAAAGAGAAAGAAACTGTTGAGACACAGTTTTAATAACTGGTGTCTTAATAACATGATAAAGCTACATAGGGTTCTAAATTATAATAATTAAACCAAATGATCCAACAGAGATTAATGATATAAAGAAGTCCAGAAAAAAATTACATATATATAAAGAATACATTAATATACTACAGACTAGGCACAGTGGCTCATGCCTGTAATCCCAGCATTTTGGAAGGCTAAGGCAGGAGGACTGCTTAAGCCCAGGAATTCAAGACCAGCCTAGGCCACATGGCAAGATCCCCATCTGTACAAAAATTTAAACATTAGCCAGGCACGGTGGTATACATTTGTGGTCCAAGCTACTCAGGAGGCTGAGGCAGGAGGATCTCTTAAGCCTAGGAGTTTGAGACCAGTCTGGTCAACATAAAAAGACTGTACAGGAAAAAATTTCAAATTAGCTGAGTGTAGTGATGCATGCCTATAGTCGTAGCTACTTGGGAGGATTGGATATGCGAGGCTGAGGTTACAGGGAGCTGTGACCACACCAGCACTCCAGCCTGGCTAAGGGAGCCAGATCCTGTCTCAAAATGAAACAAAAAGAACAACCTTCCAAAACCCCATGTGGCAGTTGCAATCCATAAAAATGACTCAATTCTAACACTTACGAATCTATTTTATAAAAATAAAAAATGTGATCCAAGAATTATTTCAAGGTTGTTCAGTGTGGAGTTCTTTATAAAATGAACAAAGTACAAAACTACTTAGATGTTGAAAAAATTGTGACTTGAATTATGGTATGACATTTAAATAATAAAAACAAAATATTTGAACAAATGACAAAAATTATATAAAGTACATCACTTAACCAATCCTCCTGCCAAAATTTATGTAAAGTACAACTAAAAAGGTTTACATGCATGATTTTTAAATGACTAGAAAGAAGTACTTCGAGAAGTTAGCAAAGGTTTTTTTATGGGTTGGTAGAATTCTGGTATGTTATGTACTTTTCATTCTAAATTTTCCATAACGCATGCTACCTTTATCATCAAAAGAAAAATATAAATGTTATTTGTGTTTATTTTTCATATCACACAAAATCTATTTTTAACAAACACATGATAAAATTTATGGAAAGTTCCTCACTTTTCTTTCAGGTCCATAGGTAATCAGTTAGCCAACCAGAGAAAATAAGGTCATCGTAAAAGGAAAAACCAGAATATTACCTGGTTCATTACTCCTGTCTGAATTCCCAAAAGCATTTCACAAATGACTATTATTTTCAACTTGACTATTGTCTAAGATACAGAAGAAAATAAAGTGTAGAGAAACCAGTTCTCCTGAAGAAAGTAGCTCTTTACTTACCATCTTCTGCTAAGACCTTGGCTGCATCTTTATCGTCTTCCCACTTTCCAGTCACGAAGCAATCTCTGATGCTGTTCATGACCTTATGCAGAAAAGTCAGCACTTAGGTGAGGTGTTCCAATCACTCAGCAAAACAATATAAGACGTGGTAATAGGCGACAACTTGCCTTGAAATATTTTCCACGTTCATGGATAGTCTCACTGCAAATGAGCCTAGGAAACAACTTTACCTTTGACGGAGACAGTTTAACCACAGAGATAAAAAACATTAAGCAGCAGATAGGGAAAGTATTAAATACTACTAGTCTACTGACTTCATAAGTAAACAAACAGATAATTACTAATTCAGCTAATTTTCAATTTTATTAAAGTTTCTAAGGGGGATGCAATGAGACAGTTTACATATTGGTCTTGCTACTCGTTAATCTAAACATGTCTGTTTGAAAACTTAATTCCTATACAATGGGAGAAGTTATATGAGAATTATATATCTGATAATGGACTTATATCCAGAATATATAAACAATGCATACAACTAAGTAATCCAATTTTTGAAATGGGAAAACAATATGAAGATATTTTCCAAAGAATATATACAAATAGCCAATAAGCCCATGAAAAGATGTTCAACATCATTATCTATCAGGGAAATGCAAGTCAATACTACAATGAGATACCACTTCACCCCCTCTAGGATCGCTATAATCAAAAAGACAGATAATAACAAGTGTGGTGAAGAAGTGGTGAAATTGGAACTCCCATACAGTGCCACTGGGTAAGAAAAACGGCATAATCACTTTTGAAAAGAGAAATGAAAGAGTATATGAGGTGAAAAAAAATCTTTAACTGTTTTCAGTAATCATATTACTCTGACACTGTTTTGTGTGTAATAATAGGATAAAACAAATGAGTAATTATGAGATTCTCTAATTTCATCATCTTCTGATTCAACCAGGGAATAATTGTCTAGTAGAAGAATGAATAAGATGTAGTCCTGAATTCGAACTGGAAATATCTATATGAACTCACCTGCTTCAGGTCACTGAGAAGCCCTAGAAGTGATGACCAACTCATGGCAGTAAGCATTCCCATGCCTAGGCTGTCATGTTGAAATACCATTTTCTACTAAAAGACATCAGAACTTTTTATGGGTGATTCCAAGTGCTCTCTCACATCAGAGAGCAAGGATTGATTAAGGATGACTACGATCATCACATAAAGACTCAGGAGCTGGCGTGCAGAGACTTCCACAGGCCACAGGTGGGATAAAGAGAAGCTTTCATAAGGATAACAGGTGCACCAGCACAAGGCACATCAACTACATTTATATCCATGACATCACAATAATATTTACAACCAAGTATCCTTTGGAGAATCACTCTAAAAACTGATTTAAAAATCAAGTATTTACCCTATATATTTGGAAGTGGATAACCAAATAGTAGAAGAGGAAACGTTTCTCTTTAAAGAAGTATTACAGCTAATAAATAAAGAGAAATGATGAATAGAACATCACTACTCTATGTTCTTAAGAAGTTAATGGTTCTAGGCATTGATCATCAACAACCGATAACATTTAACTCATTAAAAACACACAACTGGTCTTTATGCGCCTCCTAATCAGAAAACACCACCACCTGGAAAGCAGTTTTGCTGAAAAATAAAAATCAAATTTAAATCCTATCCAACTGCTAGATGTTTTGTCCATCGGGTAACTAGAACCACATGGCTATTTAAAATAATCTTAACAAAGATTAAATAAAATTTAAAATTTAGTTCTCCAGTCTCACTAGCAGCTCAGTAGCCACAACCCCCAATTCAGATACATATTCTGCTCATCACAGTTCTATCAGTTTTGCTCCCTACCCATTCACAAGAAATATAGGAGGGCCTGAGAAACTGCGGAGGGATGCAAAGCAATCCACAAAATCCAGAAGACAAGAAACTCTACAGACCAACGACGTGGTTTCTTAAATAAAATGTAACCAAAAAAAGAAATGAAAAGGAAGATTGTTGACTAAAAAATTTAAGATAGACTGAAAAAGTCATGAAAATCAGGTAAAAATAAACTACAATGCTTATGGAAGCATGGAGAAGGAAACCAGGAAGAAAAGGAAAGAATCACCATAAAAGGCTGGACCACACCTCCTTCTACAGGGAGAAAGGGGATCCTGGTTGGTGTTGCAATCAAGCAGCAAAGCTTGATTTCACAGCCTGAGTGCTGAATACAGGGGTATTCACCTTCTGGCAACCCATTAAGTTAAACAATTGTTTTATGTTTTTCTATAGCTGTATTAAATTTTACCATCAAAAACGGTTCAATAAAATCTCAAAAAGTACATTATTACCTGGCAAATTATAACAGACAAGATGAGGGCAACTGGGCCTCTGTGAGAAGTGTCATCTAAGCCAAACTGAATTGACAGAAAAAAAGGTAGCCTTTGGAAGATCAGAACATTCCAAAAGAGAATATAAAGAAACGGGTTGGCACGATGGCTCACTCCTGTAATCCCAGCACTTTGGGAGGCCAAGACAGGAAGATCACTTGAGCCCAGAATTTGAGACTCTAGCTCAACATGGTGAAACATTGTCTCTACAAAAAATGCAAAAATTAGCCAGGCCTGGTGGCTCATGCCTACAATCCCAGCTATTCCAGAGGCTGAGGTGGGAAGATCCCTTGAGCCCAGGAGGTCGAGGCTGCATTGGACCATACACTTGTGCCACTCCACTCCACCCAGGACTGTAGTCCAAGACTGTGTCACCAAAAAAAAAAGAGACAGAGAAAGAAAAGATCTAAGAGTAAGAGGAGGGTAAGCTGTGGCAAGTTTCAGTGTGACTACAAAGTGGTGGGCTACAGGAAGAACATTTATAGGTATCAGATTTCTGTATGCTTACAAATAGCAGAAACTATAAATGTTAACTCAGGGATGCTACGTATGTCCTAGTGAAGAGATGCAAAATACATCAGATGTATAAAAACTTATGTGTGATGCTTCAAAATAAAGATTCGCACTACTGTCCACACTGGAAACTGAGCCTGTCCTCCGTGGGCGGTGCACATGGTCTAACTAAACTCAGATCGTGTTATTGCTTAGGATGGATGAAGTGCCCATTACAATATCTAGATGACCTGTCATCCTATGAATATAAGAAGCCAACAACAGGTAAGCAATATTGACATAAGACAATCTTATTCTAGAACAATAGTCTCTAATTATCTGATAAATCAAACATACCACCCCCTTACCTCCTCTAAATCCCAGTCGTGGGGCGCCTCCACAAGAAATCTGGAGCAGTCCAAAGAGTCGGCCTTGTGCTTACACTCTCTGTCAGGCTGGGTGACACGAAATAACCCTCCAAGCTCTACTCGGGTATCATCATCTTCTTCATTATCTTCTTTCACTAAAGAGAAGACCATGGCAGAAAAGTGAGAACAAAAACTACAGCCCTAGAGGTCTCATCGTTTTTAACTAGTTAGGCCATGAGTCTGTGAACTCAGGAACTGAGGGTGTCTGTCTGTGGGGGGTATGATGATGGCCACATATGCGTCAGGCACTGAGAGGGCAGGTCAGCCACAAGTGAAGAGAGGCCAGGAAGCTATTTCTCTACATGTCTTGGGGCTCCTGCAATCCTGCACGGCAGCAGCTGAGCGGTCGAGGACTGAGAATATTAGGGGTCGAGGAAGGGTAGGGACATTTAAAAGCAGAGCTGTAGATCACTAAAGAAGAGCTCTAAAGAGTGTTGAGCCTCTCATCACTGAGAGTATACCTAAACAAAACCTGAATGAAAATCAGTACACAACAACCCTCCCATTTCAGTGTGCTAAGCCCAAATGTCTCACCATGTGGCCTTGATCTCATCGTGCAGTAACCAGGCACAATATGAAGTTCACCACTATAGATTTATTTTTATATTAATTCTACCACAAAGAACACACAGGTAAGTTTAATAAAGCATAAAATCAGAGGACAAGGGCAAAAGGGAGAACAAAATGTATGATACAGGGTTCATTCTCGGAAAGGAACAAATAAATATGTTTATGGGCAGAAATATTTTTCTGGCACTAAATTCTACAAAAAATTTCTCATGAAGGACTTTTAAAAAGGGGACATCACATGATGCAATAGACAGTATTTGCATCGAGTTTTACAGCAAATCTATAAGTGTACTTCACAAGACCAATGTGTGGTCCTTGTAAGTTGATGATTAAAGACATCTGCCAAATAGGAAATGTGATTGCCAGCAATGATGGATGTCAACAATACCAGCCCAATCATCCAACAAATTCCCTCATCTCCTTTTTAAGAAAATAATCAGAGAAACTGAAACGTTTCCAGCTCTGAACCAGAATTCTTTACCTGTCCCATAAATAAGCTTTCGGAGGTTTGGAGCTGCTTGCTGCTGCCTCAGAAAGGCCTCAGCTGCCTTTCTGGAAAGGTCTTCCTTCCACTTGAGGGCACCTGAAACGACCAACATCAATATCCAGTGAGGATTGTTTACATGTCTCCCCTCCCTCAAGACCAACCACAATGCAGCATCTCAACAGTTAACAAAATCTTAAAATCCAAAGACCCCCAAATGTAGACATGTCTTTGGGTACCATATTGAGAGTCAAGTTCATAGTAGCAACCAATGAAATTTAAGCTTACCTGAGGTTTCTGTGGGATCATTCTTTTCTTCCTTGTAATCTTCTTCCTCTTTGAGTAAATCTTCTATATCACTTGTCTCATCAATTAGGTTCCTTGACCCCAGTTTCTGACCACTGCCCACCTGAGAAGGCTTTGAAAGCTTTTTCCTAAGAGCTTCTTGATTTTCTGAGTCCTCTTCCTCTGTACTGAGCGAGGAGCTTTCTTCAGATTCATCTTCAGATGCAAACACCTCTTCAGCTGTGCAATGCCCAGAATCGGAAGTGGTGAGAGCTGCTTTCTTCATCGGCAAGGACTTCTCCAGATTCAGACGGTCACTCTGGTGATTAGCTGGCGGCAGCT